TTCCCAAGCTCGGAAGTGGGATTCTTTTCTCCAGAATTTTTATGCACACTTAGGTACAAATGCGTTTTCTTCTCTACAATTTTTTGTTGCTGCATCGGTTCGACTTACGAGGTAAGCGGATGCTCAAGAGATTTGCGTGAATTTTTGAGTAGTCAGATCAACAGAGAACTTTATATTCGTATTATTCCGATTTTTTTAACGGAAAAAATTACATTTACGAAGGAGTTCTTCAGGATTTTTTTGATCGGACGTTTTTATCCTCTCATTTTTTCAGACATCAAGATAAACGTTCATCAATTGAAAAATGACAAAGTTTTTATGGGAAATTTTTTAAAACAATTTATCGAATTGACGTGAAGTTTATTCAATTCAATTGAATTATTTTTCTGTATTCAGTACGCTGCATTCATTAAATTTTTAATTTCTCAACTGCAAATATAGCTGTATTATATAATTGACTGTATTGTGCAATTTCTCTATTTTTATTATATTAATTATCAATCAGCATTTTCAATTCCTCAAATATTAAACTAATCATTAATCACATTTTTCAATTTCTAAAACATTTTATAAATCAGTAATGAACTTTGCAAAAACGATGATTACAAGATTAATTAAAAAATCAAATTCAGATATTTAGAATTAATTATATAATAATAACTCAATTAATATCCTTTAAGAGGCTTAAATACCACTGACAACCGCCATATTCCATCGACTTCATTACCCCTCCCCACCCCCGCCGCTTGAAAAAAAATAGAGAGCTCCCCTCCCCAATCAATCAATCCAAAATCCTGTCCATGAATCGGCCCCAACACGTGTCGTCGCGCCATGATCGCTTATACCCCGAGACCGCAACAAATTATTTAATCGTCCATCACCGCCATTTGGTTCATGACACGTGTTTGAGTCCTCCGAGTGGGCCCACCACTCAATTTCATTCGCAAAACGTTGAAACAGACCATGCCATCATCCAACTCCTCCCCCTCCCCCCACAAACTCCCGCCAAATGCGCGCATCGATCGATAATTGGACAGATCTATCGTGTTTTACAGTCGAGTGGTTAAATAAAATACTACAACCCCAATACAAACCAACTCCACCCTCTCCCCGCTCCCCTCTCGCC